CCCAGTCCTTTTTCTGCTTAACTTCACTTGTAGCGTCATGCAGTTCTTTCCTGAAACCTGCAAAATTTTGTATTGGTCATGGCAAAACATGATTACGAATCCTGAAAGGTTGATAAGGTAACAAGAAAAATACTATACACGCAGGGTGAGTCAACCTTGGAGAAGTTCAAGTTGTTCAGAGCTGCACTTGCTAATATATCCAGTCTGCAGTCCAGCCATGAACGTTGAGGGTCAGATGCTTCTGGACTTCGGAGTCTACCCATGCTGTATGTACCTGAAAAAATATTTCTTCAAGTATATGTTGAAATTGATATTTAAACACAGAAACAGGACATGTCTGAAATTATGGACATGTCTGAAACAAATGGTTATTGGCAAGGAACTTATCCAATGTGGAAACTAATTGCATTTCTAGCGCTCAACCTCAATTGTAAGAGTACAATCATTGTCCTAAATTGATACATGCCACAAGGCACAATTTGTATCACCATTTCAAAGCCAAGGAACAGAATAGCCCAAAACTAAGCACTTCTCTATTTGTACCATGACCCACGATACAAAGGTCCCACAATATTCAACTCTTAGCCCAATTCTGATTCATCTAAAGTCATGGACAGAATGGCAACCATGATTCACACAGAAAAAATGTGAACTGAAATACTGATTTATGGTTGCCATTCTATCTGTGACTTTAGATGAACATCAACCAGTATTTAAATGAACTGGTATCTGAATTCATCTGTTGTTTGTGATGCACAACACGTTTGATCACTTACACAAATACGTTTATGTTTGGCTTGAACACCGTCAGCATCGTTCTGACTGAACTTGGGTCCAACCAGTCTGAATCTGATTCTTTTACACAATTACACCCTAACCACTCCAGAAAGTCTTCCAATCTAATCCTCACGATCATCATTCTAGCAAACTCCAGATGGGCAAAGTGCTCATTCAGCGTGCATAACTTGAACAGCAGAAACAAAATTCTAACAACAGTTGCTGCTGCCTGCTGATGGCAGAAAATGGTAGGGAAGAGGCAAACTTAAACCCAAATAGGCATCTGATTGGTCACAGACTGAATATCTGAACAGGCCAGCTGCATTTCCAGACATCGACCTGGTTGCCGTGGTTTCAACTGATATGTCTATGCTACAGTGCTCAGATGCCTTCACAATGCTTATCTGTGCCAACAGATGCAGATGAAGCAAGGGTTGATTCCTCCTTCACCATTGCGATGGGCTCTTCAAAGGTGAAGACTGTCTGTTACAGACTACAGTGAGTTGGCGTAGATCAGGGAGAGGTGGAGAGGACAACACAGGCTTGTCCGTGCAGAATCTGTCGGTAGACCCATGTCAAAACCACAAGACAATGCCATGGCACCATGTTGCAGGGGCGGCGGCACGAGCACGCCAGCAGCGCAGCCATATCCCCGCCGATGCCCGGTCCAAATGACATTGAAATGTCCAAATTTTTCAAAAAAAAAATAAACGGCAGATATGTAAAGTATCAGCAGCTTTCTCCGTTACATTCTTGAGAGCATGCAAACAAATTCAATAAATTCTTCTTCCTTTGGTTTCTGCGTCATCTGGTCGGCTAGCAGCCGGAGCACCTCCCAAATCTCAAATCGCCGCGGGTGCGCTTGGTCATCGGCAACGAACGAGCTCACCTCGCCGTCCACCTCCACGGCGCTATACGCGGGGACCTTCTTGATCCCCCGGCTGCCGATCAGCTTCCGCACCCTACGCGCGTCATCCTTGCGGTTGGCATCGAGGTAGATGTTGGACAGCTGCACGTACACGCCCTCATCGGCAGTGCCACCAAGCTTCTCGAGCTCACGCACCGCCACCTCCGCCAGCTCGACGTTGCCGTAGCTCCGGCAGCCAGCTAGCACGGAGCCCCACACGGACGCGAGCGGGGCCATCGGCATGGTCTCGACGAGCCCCACCGCGTCCTCGAGCCGCCCGACCCGGCAGAGCATGTCGACCGCGCAGCTATAGTGCTCGTGCCCGGGCATGACGCCGTAGCGGGGCCGCATCTCCCTGAGCAGGCGCAGCCCTTCCTCGACGTTCCCGGCGTGCGCGCACGCGGACAGCGCACCGAGCACGGCGACGCCGTCCGGCCGCACCCCGTCCTCCCGCGCCATCCTGTCCAGGCACGCGACGGCTTCCGCCGCCATCCCGTGCACCGCGAGCGCGCTCACCATGGTGCCCCACACGTAGGCGTTCCGCTCGGGCATGCCGTCGAACACCCGCACCGCCTCGTCCAGGCACCCGCACTTGGCGTACATGCCGACGAGCGCGGACCCGAGGAAGGCGTCGGCGAGGAGCCCCGGCGCGGCGCGCTCCACGTAGCGGTGCACCCACGCGCCGAGGTCCAGCGCCCCCGCCTGCGCGCACGCCGCCACGGCCGTGGTCAGCACCACCGCGTCCGGGTCCACCCCGTCGGCGGCGGCGGCGGCGAACATGGCACGGAACACCGCGAGTCCCTCGGCAGGCGCCCCCGCGCGCGCGTACGAGCCGATGAGCAGGTCGTAGTGGATCGCCTCACGACGCGGCAGCTCGTCGAACACCCTCCGCGCGAGGTCCGGGCGGGGCGAGTACAGTTGCAGCAGCGCGGTCGTGACGTAGTGGTCGGCCGGGAACAGCGCGTTCCTGACGAGCAGCGCGTGGAGCTGCGGCCCGGCCGCGGAGGGGGAGGAGGAGGAGGAGGGGTCTGGGGGGGCGTCGAGCGCGGCGGCGGCGGAGAGCGCGAAGGGGAAGGAGAGGTGGTCCGGGGCGGGGAGCGCCGGGGGAGTGGTGGGGGAGAGCATGAGGCGGAGAAGGCGGAGCGCGAGGCGCGGGTGGGCGGGGCACGCGGCGCGGCGGGAGAGCGCGTGAAGGAGCGAGTTGAGCGCGAGCAGGGAGAGGTCCGGGTGGCGCGGGAGCAGGCCGGCGGTGACGAGGAGGGCCTGGACGGAGAGGAGCGGCGCGGTTGGGGAGGCGGCGGTGGGGAGGAGGCGGGAGGCGAGGAGCGCGTGGCAGAAGGCGAAGGTGGATTTGGGGATGTACGGGCGCATGCTTGCCTGCTTGTTTTGATCGCAGGGGCAGCGATTCTCATGTTACCGAGGTGCCTGACACAATGGACGGCGGGCCTGAGCTCCTGCTGCGGTCAGGGTACAGAGCGCAGGGTCACGGTCGCAGTGGAATGCGGCTGCTCGGCATCGGCGGCGGCGATCGGGAGCCCGCAGCCGCAAAACACACAGCTCCTAGTGGCGGCTGGAGCCGAGGAAGAGGACATAGACGAGACGGGTTTTTTTTTTTCCATTTGATTTGGAAAGGTCAGGACTTATTGGGCTGGATGGAGTGGCTTTATTGGGCTGGGTCGTTCAGCCCCGGTGGCAGCAAGGTTTGTTCCAACGTTTTTTGGGCTAAATATTCGGCCTACAGGACGTCAGACCCAAATTTTGTCAGTTAAAAAATGGTGGTTTCCTAAAAAAAAAAAGTTAAAAAATGGTGGCCCGTGTCAATGATCTGGTCTGCAAGCACAGCATCAGCAACCCGTCGCCAACATCTTCGCTTCCGTGGTGGCTTGACAATGTACGGGCCCTTTGACTGCGGGTGCGGGGTGACCCGCCATGGCCGGGCCGGACAGTTGCAGGCTTGCAGCTCTGGTGCCAATGGTCCGTGATTGATGCAGGGAGGGTCGTCAGAGCAGAACCAGACGGATGAGACGATATCTCAGCAGAACCAGACTGACGATATGTCGATATCTGTACCACAAGGCTGACGATACCCATTGGAGTATGGACTGTAGGTGCTCAAGTTAAGAGCTGTCAAAAGAGTTTCTCGTGTCGTGCAGCACTCTGTTCATAGTACCCATTGGCCATTGATGCGCTAATGGCCCAGCACGCACGACAGTGAACAGCTGATGCCGCTGCCACTTCGATTTTCTCCTCGACTCGATCGCTCGATGCAGAATCTTCTAGAGCCGCCAAAAAAGAAAAAAAAAACAGATACAGAATCTTCTCTGGTTTCTCTCCAGCTTTGGTCGTTCATCAAGCTGTAATGGGCGCGTTCCCAGATGACGTGATTCACCAAGTGCTGTGCTGACCCGCGTGACGGAGCTAGGCTCAGCCAGATATTTTCCCAAGCCTTTCTTTGCATATAATGGACGCGTCATTGACTCATTGTATGCTTTATACTCTACCTAATCTATCTGTCTAATAATCTAAAGAAATATCTAAGGCATCACACTTCATCGGCTGCTGAAACTGACTGGAAAAGAGTAGCACAATTTGCCTTCCCATAGTGCCCATTGATGCTCTAATGGCCCAGCAAACACGACAGTGAACAGCTAATGCCGCCGCTGCCACTTCGCTTTTCTGCTCGACTCTATCGATGCAAAATCTTCTTCGGTTTCTCTCCAACTTTGTTCGTTCAACCGTACTCCCACCTATTATGGCTTCAAATTCTTAGAAAATTCCAGGAGTTGGAGCTTCTCACTCAGATGGCGAAAGCACTCGTAAGGAAAAGGAAAAGAAGGTTACGGAATTGATAAGGAGAGAAACAGTACTGGCACGGGCATGCGTACCTACAGGGCTACAGGTGCTCCAGAGCTGAGAATGTCACGTCCAAGTTGAGCACGGCTGCATCAGGATTGTTGGTACAAATTCCACTGTTTTAGGTGCGCCTTGTTCGACAGCAGCCTCTACCTCCAACTCCACTCAAATTGGTTCATCCTCCAACATCGTCAGGCCGGGTGCACGCCCTCATCAGGGTCACTGTCAAGCATCAGTTGAAAATAAACTTGCCAGTAGCATCATCACGGCCTAACGATACAACATGCTTCTTCAAAGTGTAAATGCTCATTGGATGGTTCTAATATCTTTACAACTACACTTTGCATATGTCAAATATATGATTTTCGGGGTACCACTTGGTAAAATAAGTTCAAGAAAGGCTAATGACAAGTTTATTTTCTAATTTTACAACAAAACCACAGCAAAACAAGAGGCCAAAACTTCATATCTTGAAAGGCCTTGCGAAGACCAAGTTGTGGCACGTCGGGTTGCATGGATATTCGCAATCTATCTCCTTCACTTCTCTTCTGTCAAAGAACCAGTCTCCAACTGCTTCTGCAATGCTCTGTTCCATCAAAAGGGGAAAAAAACTAAGATCAGAATGGCAGGCAAAGAATAGCAGAAATGAGATTAAAAGAGTGAGACACAGGATCGTTATCACCGAGTTCATATATGACTGTTACAGCACCTTATTGTTGACTCTGGGGGAAGTTGGAGAGTGCCAAGTCAACGAGTTTAGAGACTGACAGTGAACAAAGCACGAGTTGATATAAAATCCCCAGTCCCTTTCCTGCTTAACTTCACTTATAGCATCATGCAGTTCTTTCCTGAAACCTGTAATTTTTTTTTTGTAATGGGCATGGCAAAACATGACTATGAATGAATTCAGGAAGCTAGATAAGTTAACAAGAAAATGCCATATGCAGGGTGTGTCAACCTTGGAGAATTTCAAGTTGTTCAGAGCTGCACTTGCTAATATCCAATCTGCAGTCCAGCCACGAATGCTGAGGGTCAGATGCTTCTGGAGCCAACGCATGTTGTACCTGGAACATAAATCTTCAAGTACGAGTATGCCGAAACTGATATTTTTAATACAGAAATAGAACAGTCCGAAATTTTATGGATATGGCTAAGAGTACCTGCCAAGCATCATATGCTCGATTAAGAACAAAGACTGGGTTGACAACGTGCTTCACAACTTCACGTGGAAAGAAACACTGGAACACAGTAACAGTATAAGTGGCAGTTTTAGAACATCATACATTCAGCGATGGCAATGAGTGATGATACTATTGTGGCTAATTATTATATATTATTGAAAATTAAGTACTAACCTGGCCCGCCTCCATGTTTGAGTTACAATGTGAAAACCCTTAGACCATGAAGGCGCACAACATCACTGTAGAAAGACTGCATTGTCCTTCTCCCAGAAATGTCTTCTCTGTAATTGACGAACAAACCAAGGAATTAGATAGGAACCAAGTACACAGCAAAGTGGTACAATTCCCATTTCCCACTTTTTTTATTTATTTCCAAAGATAATAACTCATCCCTGACTGGTAACAGGAATTTAACAAACATGAAATTTGTTGCTCAGCAACTGGCATTTGAAAATGTTTAAATGAGCTAGTAAGATATATGATTGGTGATGCCTTTAACATAAGGTTTCTGACGTTCAAAAATGCATCTGATTGTTGAAATGGTTTTCGTTGACATTGAAAGTCGTGAGATACAAGTACTTCAGAGTTCAAACTATGGTCCCATTTTCTGGTCTTATAATAACTTCTGGTCCTGTCAGATGACAGTACTTGGGCTTCTCTAAACGTCTAAATTAGACTGTTTTGTAATTCTGGCATTTCCTGCCACCAGCAGCTTGTGGAACCTTCATATTATCATGAGGAGTAGAGTAACTACACATGCATGTGAAAGGATAAACCACACAGCACAGATGACAGATAAATAAATGGCAAAACGTATCAATATCAGTCACAGGATGCTAGAGACATACACATCAAGGAAAAAACCGCCATCTGCGAGACACTTTACCCTAGAATCCTTTGGTAGCAGCGCACGGAAAGAATCACAGTGAATGTAAGTGGCTAGCCCACCAGCAGAGCATCCTGTTAGGAAAGCCTGAAAGCTGGAAATAGAATATCAGCGTCACACTATCAGTACAGTGGTTTATAATTACTTTATATGGGAAAAGATGAAATAAGTAGTACGCAATCAATATATACATTCCTAATCACACCTAGAACTAAACTTGCAAAGTGCTATATAGGAATAAAATCATCAACGTAAAGCATCCAAAATAGTCCTTTAGTAGCTCAAAGACAATGAGTTAATGATAGAGAGACCCTTTCATTGAATGCAAAAGTACATGAGACTAGTACTATTGTAATCCGTACTATTTTTTCTTAAGAAAAAGGAAATCGATTCTACTTACAAGGAATGACCTGTTTAGCATTTCTGAGCCCCTTAACTACAAGTTCGTTCATAACTGCTTCCCAGATACGCTGGCCTCTGAAGAAGAATCTTGTGCCATTCTGCACAAATTTGCAGAATAAGACTCGTTATACTGACCGAGTATTAAGCAGAATTTGCTGGAAAATAATCAAATCAGACCTGCAATTCATCTTTTACATTCCCAGAGAATGATGCCCCGTCGCAATACCTTATCTTCACTTTATTCCAGTTGTAAAAGTCTGCAAATTGATAGCAGAGATATTGAGCATATGAATATATTATTGTGCCATAGGAGTAATACAAAAGGATGACTATTTAATTGCTGAAGTAAGGATCAGGAATTAACTGTTTGAAGCGAGAAATTAAGACGGAGTTGAAAGCATGTAAATACTACAGGACTACAGGGGGCGCCTATCTTGTCGAGAAGCAAGGGGATTCATAGTTAACTGGAACTTAAAATACTAGTACAACAATATGAAAGTGCATACGGCTAGCTAGCTAGTTACATTTCATGAATATTATATCAGATTCCTACATTGTAGTGAAATATGACTTAATTGGTTAATATGCAAAATAGCAACGCTTCTAAAAAAAGTGTAAATCGTACAGTCAAACCTATATGCAGGCACTAGTGCCCAATTCTGAAGACATACTAATGGGTCTAATATTGCAATTTAGACAAAAAAAACAAGGTAACAAACATCAGAGAGATGGGAAACTTCAATACTGGGATTCTGAGACTTATCATCGCTCAAGATCCCTGTGAACTCAACCTGGCCTTCCATGTACCGGGATGAGCCCAACATCGATCTCTGACGTGAGGCACATGACTTGAGATTACGGCACCAGCCTCCACCCTAAAGGATGCAAAACATAGAGAAGTTAGGGAACAAACAACAGACGATTATGTTGTAGCTGTCGTGCATTATGCTTCGCTGCAAAATGGAAAACGCTGCAGTGCTCCTGCATTTTCCTTAGACCTTCACTTTTAAAAAGTAGTACCTATCACCACATTGCTACGAAATCCGATGCCTGGAATTGAAATTCACAACGCACGCATTGTCCAAACGAGCTTTGAGACCCAAGGCGCACGGGTTCGTATCAAAACGTGATGTCGATCGAAAACGTCACCTACCCCCAAGTGGATGAGCCAGCTCTGCGATACACTCCCAGACCCTCTCTGCAGATGGTACCCGGGCGCGCTCCCATCCAAGCACACTGCCAAAAACCAGAGCAGAAACCCGACTCAGATCCCGATGCCGATTCCTGGTCGGAAAGTACTCGCGGTACAGTACGTACGAGTACGAAGTACGAACGAACGGCTGTTCAAAATTTGAAATTGAAATTTCAAAACAAGGGAGTGAGGGGTTGCCGGGAACATCAAAGATCCCTTCTCGCTGGCGCGGCGGACGAGGGTGAGTCCTACGAGGGCGGGGCCGCGGCGGCCACCGGACGCGGGGAATACTACGGAGGCGTAGCTGGAAAGCGCGAGGAGCAGCGCGACGGCGAAGGTGGCCCCGACGGCGCCGGCCCGGCCGCGGCGCCTCCACCACAGGCGCAGGTGGTGCGAGGCCGGGGCCGACGGCGGCGGCATGGCCGGGGCAGGGCAGCGCAGCGCAGGATCTGATCGCGACGGCTGGGCTGCAGGCAGGCAGCAGTGGACTAGTGGAGTGCTCGTGCTCTGCCCCTGCTGTTGGTGGCGGCGCGTGCCCCCAGTTTTTATACTGGGCTGGGTCGCTTTTGCTTGGGCGGTTGGGCCGTATCATTCGGCCTTTTGGTCCAACTGTCCGTTCTTCGTCGTTCCCCACCAGCAAAGATTCAAACAAGATGAACACAGAGTATCACTCTAGTTCATCTTTTAAAAAAATCTCTGTACTTTTGGCGTAATGGACATAAAACCATATAGCTTTGATTAATGATCTGTACTGTACCCACTCAATTTTTAAATTTAAACCACGTCGGTCTCAGTGGGCAACGGCCGGGACACCTACTTCTGGGAAGATACCTGGCTCATGGATGGCCCGCTAGCCGATAAAATGCCAGCCCTCCACAGCCACTTCAGTGGGCGCGCGACGTCAGTCCGCGACGTTGGGGACACGGCTGCGCAGCCTCCTCTAGCGCGGACTCACCGTTCAGGCCACCGCGGAACTCGACCACCTTGAAGAGCTTCTCCAAGAGGTCAGTCTCGATGAAACCCCAAATCAACGCTCCAGCTTCTTTGAAGATGACAGCCACCGCCTCTTGTGTGGAGTCATATACCGAACATCAACACGCGGTGACCATGCATGCCCGTACTACAAATTTGTGTGGACAAGCTTCGCCTCGCCTAGGGTGAAGTTCTTCGGTTGGCTACTGACACAGAACTGAATACAAAGCAGATAATCTTTGGTGCGCAAGAACATCTTGGATGATGCTCGATGTGAGGTATGTGGGCAAGAAGATGAAACTGCAGACCACATCATCATCTCAGGTTGCAGCTTCGTGCGCGGCTTCTGGAGTCGGATTGGCTGGGCGCCGGAGGAGATAGCCAAGACCACTGAACTATGGCAAACCAGACCTCCGACCCGGATGCATCAAAGCGTTGCCCATCCCCTCATCCTACTCTATTGCTGGGAAATATGGAAGCACCGAAATGAGGTCGTCTTCAGACACATGGAGCCCAGTGTGGATCGTCTGATCACCGCCTGCAAGGAAGCTGGGCGTTCATGGAGCTGCCGACTCCCGAAACAAGACACGACAATGGCTGAAAGATGGAGTACCGCCCTTGATATGTAAACGCTCCCCCTCTGTAATTAATTGTCATGAATGTAACCCTAAACTGTAATTGGAGGGCCTAGCCCCTTCCACCCACCGGCCTCCGGGATCAGTGGAATGAAAATCAGGTGGGGATCGATTTGATCCCCCTGTCGTTGACCTAAAAAAATCAATTTAAACAATAGAGCTCCTTTATCACCTTACCTACAACTACAAAAATAGTGAAATAGTAGAAACAAGAGAAACTGCGGCCAAAACTTTTTGCTCAAAGAATTAGTCTTTTTTTTACAGTGTACATTGTAAATCGGTATACTGCATGCTACCACGATTACGCCATGATCAGTATGACAACAACTCTTGAGAAACCTATGATGAGCTCCAAATCTTCCCCTCCAACGAGATGATGATGATGGAGACGTCGTCATGGTACCGCCTCCGGTCGCCTTGCTGAACCTCGAGCAACTCATGGAACCCCATTCCTGCATTCACCATCGCAGAATTTTACATATATAGCTCCATCAGATATACATATACTTAAATACTTCACTAGTTTCTTCATTCAGTTCACTATTACTAGTTTCATTCAACTCCATTCCTGAAGAGTATTCGAGAAAAAAACTCCATTCCTGAAGAGACTCACTAGTCACTCACCAGCTTGGTTGGCGGCGCGGAGGAGGATCTCGTGGCTGAGGTACTTGGCGGGGTCCTCGTCGGGGTAGCTGGCGGTGAAGGCCTCCACCTGCGCCACCACCTCCTCGTTGCTCAGGTAGTCGTAGAGGCCGTCGGAGGCGAGGATCATGAACTTGTCCCGTGGGCCCACGCGGTGGTGCCGGAGGTACGGCCGGCAGCTGATGTACGGCGACGTCCCCACGTACTTCACCCGGAACACCTCCAGCAGAGCCTTGTTCCACCTCGGCTCTTTCAGGTAGCCGGCGCCGAATGCTCTCGTCACCTTCAACGAGCCCTTCACCCTGCCATTCACAATGCAGTCGGTATCATCGGGGTGCTCGCTCCTGATCCTTCTCGCCTCCTTCATTATCATCGACCAAATCAAATTAACCAACCTATTAAGAAGCAATCATAATGCATGCGTTCAGAGCGAGCAAACAATCAATGGATGATAACCATCGACTGTGTCATGGGAAGCACCTTGTAGACGCTGGTGCTGTGGTCCATGGTGAGCTGCAGCGCTACGAGGTCCCCCATCTCGCACGCGTCGAACTGCCGCTTGATCTCCTCCTTGACGCCGGCGAGGTCGCCGACGAGGGCCCGCGACAGGTCGGGCTCGGCGCGCTGCGCAAGCACGGCGCGGCTGTCGCCGACGTTCATCACGTACACATCGGCGCCCTTCACCAGCGCCACCAGCACGCACGACCCCATCATCGCCAGCTCCGGGCACTCCGCCGCGCGCGCCTCCGCCTCCGCGAAGTACCCGGCCTCCGTGCTCCTCAGGGCGCGGGCCAGCGCGTCCAGCACGTCGTGGTCACGCGCCCGCGCGCCAGCGCGTCCGTTGCACCGCGCCGCCACCTCCTCCTCCTCCTCCTCCTCAGACTCCATGCGCAGCAGCACGCCGTCGAGCTCGCGGCACACAGCCGCATACAGGTGCGCGACGAGGTAGTCGGTGGCGTCGGGCCCGTTGAAGCCGTCGTAGATGCCGACGAACATCCAGCGGTGCTCCTCCGACACCACCACGTGCACCCTGTCCTCCCCGGCCTTCCCACGAGCCCACTGCACCCTCGCCGCGCCGCCGCCGACGTCCGGCACACCGTTGCCGACTGCCACGGCGTGGTCCTTCCCGCCGCCGGGGGACACGCACGGCCCCGCGCGCAGCACCGATGCGACGGCCCTGCGGAGGCCGCCGAGGAGCGGGCTGGACTTGCAAGACGCCTGCCGCCGCCGGTGCCGCGTGGCGTAGAGGTCCGCGAGGATCTGCTCGTCGGTGCGCGAGGGGAGCCGCGACACCGACGACACGCCCGAGTTCGTCGCAGACGTCGACGTCGACGCGATGCTGCTGCTGCCGCCGTAGCTGTCCAGCGGGCCCGAGTACTGCCGCGGCTGGAGCGTCCGGAACGAGGAGTTGGAGCTGTCGAACGACGACAAGCCGGAGAAGGACGCCCGGTCGCTTAAGAACAAGGAGCCGCCCACCGTGGACTGGTTCGACGGCAGCAGCACGCCGTGGATGCGCCCCTCGCGACCGTCTAAGCTGAGAATGTGGCAGACGCCGGTGCCATCATCCGCCGCTCCTGTCCCCGCCGCATCCGTGTAGTGGTGCGCGTCGTCCGCGGCGTGACCGTCGGCCGGCGCGAAGCAGGGCGTGGCCAGCCTCGCCAAGCGGTTGCCCATCGTCGGATCTGGATTGGCATCGGGGAATGTGGCGCCGGTCGGGGCAAAAATGGGCGGCAACAAGCAAAGAAGGAAGGCAAGCTAGGCCGGTGTTGACGTTGCTGAAGAGGAGCAAATAAGATTTGTTTATAGAGTTGACCAGGATCTATCTCTTGCATTTGTTTTTATTGTATCTGCGATCAGCTCTTCTTTATCCTCGTAATCCAGGTTGACTTTGATTCTCAGGAGTAAAGAAAAATGGCATTTGCAAGCTTGGAGCTTTGATTCTATATCTATAGGATCGATAGATTGGGCCGGCGCTCTGGCTCAACGTGTCGTGACGTCCTCTTCTCACATCCTTCATCCATGGCTACTCTGTCCTATTTACATGTGACACTGACATGCCGTGTTTCAATTGCACCCCAAATGGATACACATTCAGCTCTCCCTTTAAGAGCATGATTGATCCATTAACACTAAAATTTAGTTAGCTTAATAGTTACTATTTTTTAGATAGTTAATTTTTAGTAGGAAATCGTTTAGATTCACCTTCAAATAGGCATATGAACTATTAGCATATATCAGCAACTCCAAACCATCTAATGGAACTAATAGTTAGTAGCCCCCTAGATAATATAATTAGTAGGTCTGTTTTGATCCACTAGTACTAATTTTATCTGCTAAGTGCTAATGGATCCAAATAGGCCCTAAATCTCCAAGTCCTTTATTCTCACAAAAAAAAACTCCAAATCCTTCAAATTTCTATCCCAAATCCCTCAAAGGCATTGTGGCAAATTTTAACCCCAAATTCCCATTTGCACCAGGGAAATCTATTTTTATTAGTTAAATCCTGACCCTATGAAGAAACCCAACCCTAGTAAGGTACAATACACTAGGGGTGGATTTTGCCAAAGGTTCAGTGATGATGAAGAGGAAAAGAGAAGAAAGCTTGGGTATTAGGGAAGGGAGAAACACTCAAATATCATTTGCAGCTTTTTTTAGAAACTTGTACAATGTTTTTCGTGACGAAAAGTTTGAATTTTATATGAATCCTTACCATTAGAAGGAAAAAGTGGAATTCTCGGCCTCTTATTTTAGTATGCCCAATTTATATCGTTATATATTAGTTATGGGTGTCCAAATTGCTTATATTTTTAAAAGAGTCATGGTTAAAACTTTTATGGATAAATTTAGGGCCCACATTTAGTAAAAAAATCCTTGGATTCTCTCACTCATCAATTTCCTAATTTAATACACGGTTCTGCTATTTATCCAGTTGTGATATTTTATTACTCCAACATTTTTTAGTTTTTTTGCACTCGTACAATTTTTTTCATGTGCAACATTTTTAAATGTTTTGGCCTGTGAGGACTGAGGACTTTGTTGTTACTGTTGCGGGGTTTTCTCTATATAGTCCCTTTCAGGGCACGTCTCCTTTTTAATATAACAGGCAACTCTCCTGCTGGTTCGTTAAAAAAAGAAATTTGATTTCTAGCTAATTTACATGCTTTTCCATTCTATATGAATATATTTTCCCTTTGCATCATATCACCTTGTGTGCTCAATTTGTGTTTATTTAAAACCTTAGCTTGAGCTATGTTAGCTTTTGTTATATCCCATTTATTGTTCCTTTATAAATCCAAACTTGGTCATACCAATTTCAATCATTTGCCCTGCCCCCTGCTAGCTTGCTTCTACTTGCTGCCGCTCAGCTACAATCCTATGAAGGGGTTATAGTTTTTTTTTCCGACCACGCCGAAGCGCGTTTTTCATTAAGAAGAAAGGAGTTTCAAACAACAACTTAGAGACGGTAATCCAAGGTTACCGGACTCCAACGAACAACGAGCACCATAAAGCGATTACATAGCAACTAATTTGCGACTAAAACACAAGAAGCAGCCGGGAAGCCTCACATCCTGGCCACGAGTGAGCGGAGGCGCCTGAACCCGGCCGTGCACCAGGCTTCCACCTCGTCCTGCACCAATAACGCGAGCTGCTGAGCCATGGTTATCGAGCTGTTGAAGGTTTTTGCATTACGCTCCTTCCAAAGCGCCCAGCCGATGAGGAAGAAGAATGAGTCAAAGCCACGACGCTGCTGCTTGGGGATGAGCTTCCTGTTTTTTAACCACCAATGCAAGGTCGGTTCCTGGCTGGGTACAATGGAGTCTTGCAGGTGCAGCTTGCACAGCCAAATGTGCCAAACCACACGGCTGAAGGAGCATCCAAGAAGAATGTGGTCCATCGTTTCCACTTCTTGATCACACAGAACACAAGTTATGGAATGTTGTAGGCCGTGCCGAAATCGACGCTCGGCCGTCCAACACCCGTCATGCATGACCAGCCAGAAGAAGAAGCACACTCGCGGCGGCGCACCGGTCTTCCAGATCATCTTGCGCCCGGCCGGAGGAGCAACCGAGGAACATGGCGCCGTCGCCGAGGCCGCCGAGTAAGCCTGATCCTCGAGAACTTCCAAGTGATAGTGTCCGGGTTTGGCGTGAGTTGTACCCCCTCAATGAGGTCGCAGAGCTTACCAAACTCAATTAGCAGCTTAGATCGTTGTTGTCGGCGTACGTAATGTGATGTACCCATGCATCATCAATGATAGCCTCAGCTACTGTCGCCCTTCTCTTTCGCGACGTAACCGCAGCAAAAACGGTCAGTGCAATGTCCTGAACACAGGAGCCCTGCAGCCAGCGGTCCGTCCAGAAAAGGGTCGATCTCCCGTCGCCCACGGTGAAAACCGTTGCTGCCTGGAACAGAGCAAGCGCAGCTGTGTCCTTGGTGTTTGTAGCTATCCCTTCGACGTGGTCCTTCCAAAGCCACCGCGTCCGCAAAGCGACACCGGCCCTGGTCAGATCCGCAATGCCCAGGCCGCCTAGCTCCTTGGGACGACAGACAATTGTCCAGGCCACCTTGCAGCGACCGCCAGCCACCGAGTTGGAGCCTGCCCAGATAAAAGCTCGTTGAAGGGGTTATAGTTGTCCTCAATGTCTGTCTACCGAAGATATGGACAAGCAGGGTTTTTCTTGTTTCTTCTTTCGATATTTTTCAACAAATCAGTTGAGTAATATTTTTCAGTTGAGTAATATTTAATTAATAAAGATCTTTTTAGAAAATGGAACCGTTTTAGCCTCCGCAACCACATATAGCCAGATGAATATTTGATTTGATATGATCTTGTTGCTCCTAAAAGAATAGGAGAGGAGGAGGCAGGAGCCAATCGTTCACTTGGCTCAAGCATCACTGAAACTCCACTTGAAACCAACTGCAAGTGCAGACACAGCGAGGGATGGAACAAGTTGCTCTGTTAAACAAGTTGCATTACAAATTGGTGCGTTTCTTTGATCGAGGTCACCCTAGCTGTTGCTACGCCATGCCCACATCTTCAAGACATCATCTTCTTCACCATATGCATATGCATACAGACATACATGGATATACATACATACATACATACATACATACATACATACATACATACATACATACATACATACATACATACACCTGCGCTGACTTTGGTAACCTAGAAAGTTCATGACCATTAACAGGAGCACCAGCACCTGTAGACTGCAGTACAAGATCGAGCTAAGCCATTTTCTTCGTGCAGCTGGTGATTGGATGAAGGCAACCTCAGGTCAATCCCCAGGCCGGAGTATTTTTGTATAATACATACATGGCACTACTTGTACTTGCATACATGACATACATGAAAAGTTCAGACGTAGTTTTATTCGAGGGCAGCAAGTGGACTACTCACTTGTATTTGTATACAATATACGAACCCATACGTGTAGCAGTATACAATGAGGTGAAATATTAGTCTGTGTATGCCGGGGTCAATGAATCGCCGGGAATATCCTGGCGGATCTTAGCTTGCAACATGCATGATCTAGCTGTGGTTCTTGTGACGTCGTTGGATAGAAAACAATGCTAGCAGTGCCATGATAGCAAGGGAATTGTTTGACATTTGACTATTTGCAGATCATGTTGAGTATAATACTGATGAGGCTGCTCATAAGTCATAGTACCTGAATTGGTACTGAACTGCTGATGATGACCTCAATCTTAACCATTCCGGTTTAAACTTGCTTGTTAAGCTATGCATAAAAAACCGAGCGAGGGATTTCCACTCTATTTAGTAGCATTTCAAGATCGTCATCCTATTTCCTTTCTGATGACATCAGGATCAGCATATGACAATCATACATCAGAAAGGAACTGTGGAAGTGCCAACGATGGAGTGACAAATCCTATTCCTAGCTAATTCCTCGTTTTTTTTTGGCTTACGTACTGCGTGATAAAATGCAGAGGAGCAAAATGACTTCTTGGTTTGAACTGAGGATATCAATACAAACAATTTCAGAGTCTTTCCCTTTTTTTCTTCAGATTCCCTAGATTCAACTGAAACCAAATTTAAACATAGAGTGAAAAGAACAAGTGCAGACGATATTTTTTTTATCGAAAGAATGTGAGCCGGAGGATTATTGTAATTACTGTGATCTACAGGAAGGGTACATAATCATCTTTATAGTACTTATACAACTTACAAGTGCGCAATTGACTTAAAGAGAGGTGCTCACAGAATATGGTTTGTATACACCACTATGCATTTGTATTGGATGCTTAGACATGATTAGACTGCATGCTCATCCCAGATTCTGCAACTTTTGTTTTCCTTCATCGATTTCCGCTTTCACTTTTTCTTTATGTCTATTCTTAGGTTCATTCAAGTGAAAGCATATTATGACTTATGAGCTGTTTCTCTCTCTCTCTCAGTCTCTCAGTCTCTCTCTCTCTCTCTCTCTCTCTCTCTCTCTCTGAAAAAGAAAAAAAGAAAAACAAATTTCAAGTTTGCAAGATTATCCAGAGTTCATACCATAATGGAAAAAGATACTCATATCTCTGTTCTTTTTGTCTCAGTTAGATATCACTATTCCATTAGAAAAAGATATTGATATTCTATTATCTAATGAAAAAGAGAAAATTAAGGACAGTAGTCCGAAAATGTAGCTGGTCAT